CACACCCAAACCCAAATCCCCCACACACACCTACACACAAACGCACACACCCCGTACTCATATGATTCACGATACTGGATTTCGTCAATGCGGACGCTATAAGTATTCGAAACGGTTTGGTCTTTGCATATGAAACTGGTGGGTTTCGGTACCTCCAAAATAATTAAGAACCACTGGATTAGGGTCAAGCATGACGTCAGATCTGACGTCACACCACGTCATACAGTTACGGTGTACGGTTACTACTGACATTTAGATACCAGACAAGATACTTATCTATGCGCATGGCAAAATATACAGATATAAAAACCCATATTTACAACCTTCAAATGCTTACAAAATTAAACATAACCTATCTTTAGATTGAATAGGAAAAATTAAAACTTTTGTTCTCAGCTGTGTTAAAAGATTAATCACTAACTTTTTTCCCCAATAGTACCCGAGACACATTGGGGATATGAAGTAAAGTTCAACCGTCTCAATGGCCTCGTCATAGTAACTGATAGTGCTTAGTGTTTCTTCCAGATTTTTTTTCTCAGGGGGGGGGGGGGGGGGGGGCGGACACTGACAAGAATTCTGTGTTTTATATATAAATTCCATTTCGTTAGGGGGATGAGTGTGGTTAACTTTCTTCGAGCCCCCCCCCCCCCACCCCCATAAGACATATACCAATCAGGATGTACAGAGGGAAGTGTGTTCCGTAACCAAGACCCTTGTTCACCGATTATTAGTATAGCTTAGGCAAATTTAAAATTACGTTTTAAAAATAATTTTAAAAACATATATTAACAAGACTACATTAAGAACCGACTTCTTCTTCTTCTTCTTCGTTCTTAATTTTTAGTGTTGGAGAAGATCGAGCCTTATCTGCCAGAGGGTATGAACTCGAGCGTTTTTCGAATTTATCAACCATGAGCTTTTTGCAGACTCGACCACGCCTCCATCACAATTAAGGATACGTGTCAACTGGTTATGCGCCATTGAGGCCATTGACTCCGATTTCAGCCTGCTTTTCTTTTTTGGATTTGCTTCCATAGCCTTTGTCCAATAACCGACTAAATATTTGTTATTATGTTACCTTTAAAAGATATATATATATATATATATATATATATATATATATATATATATATATATATATATATATATATATATATATATACCTATTCACTAAAGTCCTATCCTCTAAGCATGTATCAACTTAAGATAAACGAACAAAAGACCTATCCGCTAAAGACCTATCTGCTAAAGACATCCACTAAAGAAATATCCTCTAAAGACCTATCGTTTTGTCACTTTACAGCCACTTAAGACCTATCCTCTAAAGACCTATCGTTTTGTCACTTTACGTTGCTAGAACACAAAACAGACCAGCGCGGACACACATCAGTAAACGTCAGCCTTCATCTCCATCGGCATCCGTCATCTGTCATCTCACAGTACGGCAAGGCGTGAGATCATCCGTCATAAGCTCATCCAACAAACGTCCCACAAATTGTTATTTTCTTGGCTTCTTGCGATTCGACAGGCAGAAGAAGATGGGCGATATTATAGAAACATGTTCTCCGTTTGAGCTTATTGTTATTTATTGCATTGTCCTTCAGAAGATTTGACATTTATTTCACAAAACTGTAACGCCCTCAGAAACATAATTTAAAAAAAAAAAATTCCCGGCCTTCAAATATTTAAACTTATAAAAATAAAGCGTGAGTGATCTCCCCTAAACGTTCTCGAATATTCTTTTATAAAACAACAGGGGATGGGAACTCGGGATATAGTTATGATTTTTAATCCATTTTGAATACTTAAACTTTTTAAAATAGAATAGAAACTTATTTAAAAAGAATTGCGCATAAAGCAAACGCCGAATAAAGATGTGTATAATAGTGCGGAATATTATTAGTACTTTATAAATTCACATGAGATTTTTGAGAAATCGGAAAAAGTGAAAATTACTACTTCCGGTCAACGGAAATTACTCAAAATTTGATAGAAGGCTGAAAATTAGATCTTTTACTTACATGTGAAATTTCATTTATCTATCTGAAACAGTACTCAAGTTATACGCTTTTGAAAAATTCAAAGTAGAAAAAGTTTCACTTCCGGTTATCGGAAATCGCTCAAAAGTTGATAGGATTTTGAAATTATACTTATATGTGACAATTTCATCAACCTAACTGTAACGGTACTCAAGTTATTGTGTTTACATACACACACACACACACAGACAGACAGACAGACGGACAAGATTGCAAAACTATGTTTTTAGGACTCAGGGAGGTGTAAAACGTCGAGATTTGCAAATTCTCTTTTTTTTTGCACGATTACAATACTTTCTCTATACTTCGTATATACGAGAAAGTAGAAAAAAAATCATCGAAAAATCATTTTAAATAATCATAAACATTACACAGGGCTTAGTGGGAAAAAGTACTTAAGTATAATTTTAAAGTTTTGAGAAAAACGAGTTCAGATTATGTAAAATTACATTGAAATACCTAGTATTTTCATGTTTTATGAAAAAAACAACTAATAGGGTATTTTGTTCAAAATCTACACTGATGTAGGGGTCGGCGTGGTTGAGTCGGTAAAGCTCATGGTTGCTAAACCGAAAAAGTCTCGAGTTCGAACCCTCGGGCAGATGAGGCTCGTTAGCTGGGGACAGCCACTCTTCTAGGAGAGACAACTCCAAAATTAAACAACTGCTGCCTTGTAGTTTGTTCTTGGTTGGACAAAGGCTATGGAAGCAAATCCAAAAAAGAAAAGCAGGCTGAAATCGGAGTCAATGGCGCATAACCAGTTGACACGTAACGCTTAATTGTGTTGGAGGCGTGGTCGAGTCGGCAAGTTCATGGTTGATAAATTCGAACAAAGTCTCGAGTTCAAACCAACTGGCAGATAAATCTCGATCCCCTTCAACACTAATAATTAAGAACGAAGAAGAAGAAGATACACTGATGTTTTAGGCGATGTAATCAAATATTATGTAGGTTTTAACATTTTTTAAAATGTAACTTGAAGACCTTTTTCCACCTAGCCGTTCATATGTTATGTTGCGATTATGCATGACTGTGTAACGCTACAAAGCGTACATACATACAAATTATTATGGCCAAAGGAATTAGTGTAGCCTGATTGTCATTCGATTTACACTTTACATTTCAATATTTTAATTTGAACAATAATTGTAATGGTTTGTCTTAAAAATGTTATGTAATCAAACACAAACTACTTGTTTTGTTTTGTTTTTTATTTTTTTTAAGCCGTTTACACAAAAAATATATTCCATTTAAAGTTCATTTTTAATTCAGATAGACAGAATAAACATTACAAATCATGTTTGAGCTATTAATTTATTCGGTTTTTGCAAGCTGATACAAAGTTAAGCTGGTCTATATTTGAAAAAAATATATTTAAAGTTTTAGGCAGATTAAAATAAAAAGAATAAAATATTATGTTGAATTGCAGTGTTATTGGCTTGCTAATATTAATACAAATATAATAACTCATTCTTTCGTATATTACACTTTCCGAATAGGCCAACATCTGTATCAGATTTTTTTTTTAAATTACTTTAAAACGCATTGCAACTTTAAACTCCGATGGTTGATAATTAATCACATGGATGACAAATAAATTCAAATGATTATGTTGTCTTATAATTGTTAAGGAGACGGCGTGGTCTAGCGAAAGAGCGCTAGACTGCTAACCAGAATGTCTCGAGTTCGAATTCGAGTTCAAATAAATAGAATGCCATTAGTCCATCCAGCTCTGCTGACCACACAATCACTTCATATGCTGAGGTAACAGAAACAGATGAACTCTACTTCACTTGCCCCATCGACCGTCTGATGTGAAATGGAACTACATGCATGAAAATTTAAACACTGCAGTTAGTTTCTTTAACATTTCAAGACAACATTCTAAAACGATAAACAACTGAATAAAATACAACCGAATTAAAAAAAATAAGTCGATTTTTCGAAATAATCGATTAGTTTAACGTCTTACGGGTTTAAAATCGATTTCCTAACCGTTAAATCGATACACGGCAGTGCATATTCTGCGACCCCTAGAGGAATTGAAGTCAGGTATTTTTTGACACATTGTAAAATCGCTGTCTTATTTATTCACAAGAAAATACATTACAACAAGAAAGTACAGTGGGGTAAGAAAATACATTACAAATATAAAATACAGTAGAACAAGAAAATACAGTACAAAAAGAAAATAAGGTGCAACAATTAAATACAGTTCATCAAGAAAATACAACATAACAAGAGAATACATCACAACAATAAAATACATGACAAATATAAAATACATCACAACAAGAAAATACATCAAAACAAAAAAATGCATCACCACACGAAAATACATCAGAACCAGAAAATACATCACAAGAAAATACAGTAGAACAAGGAAATACAGTGCAACAACAAAAAAATACAGTACATCAAGAAAATACAACAAGAAAATACCGAACAGCAACAAAATACACTACTACACAACAAGATAACTCAGTAAAACAATAAAATACTGTACAGAAACAAAAAAACAGTACATAACATTGAGGTCATGTAAAGAACGCGTCTAATAAGGCGAATAGAGCAAGGCTTTATTTGATATTCCGCATGCCATTTGTCGCTGTGTCGTTGACCTCATTTATGCCAGACAAATTACAGGGACGCCTGGCAGAAATGGAAACGTTATTTTCCCAAGACAGAGACGAGGTAAAGGGCGATAAATCGAAACTGCATGTCCGAGTTTAGGACGAGTATTGGTTATTTATTGCTGCAGGGTGTACTGGACGAGGGGAATTTGATTTTAAAATTAGAGTAAAATATGTGTTGAAAATAAGTTTTTAGATAATGGTGGAGATAGGAGCAGATGCAGGTAGGGTAGAAGGGGTAGGGGAGGGATAATAGGAAAGGGTGGAGCGTGATTGCTCCATACTAGGCTAGAGTGGAGCAGATATACTAGGCAAAGGTGGAGCAGATATGCAAGGCAAGGGTGGAGTAGATATACTAGGCAATGGTGAATCAGATATACTAGGCAATGGTGGAGTAGATATACTAGGCAAGGGTGGAGCAGATATACTAGGCAAGGGTGGAGCAGTTATGCTAGGCAAGGGTGGATTAGATATACTAGGCAAGGGTGGATTAGATATACTAGGCAAGGGGTAGCAGATATGCTAGGCAGGGTGGAGCAGTTAAGCTAGGCAAGGGTGGAGCAGTTATGCTAGGCAAGGGTGGATTAGATATACTAGGCAAGGGTGGATCTGATATACTAGGCAATAGTGCAGCAGATCAGTGGCGTAGCCAGGATCGTCTCAAGGGGGGGGGGTTCCAATTTTTACCCGGGGACAAGCTTTCGATTTGCATTCCCCCCCCCCCCTCCGAGACTTTCGATTTGCACCCCCACCTCAAACTTTCGATTTGCACCCCCTCATACTTTATATATATACCGAGGAGTCTATTGGGGGGTTATGATCCCCTCTAACCCCCCCCCCTGCCTACGCCACTGCAGCAGATATGCTAGGCAAGGTTGGAGCAGGCATAATAGGCAAAGGTGAAGCAGGCATAATAGGCAAGATAGAGAAGATATAGCCAAGGGTAAAGATAACATAATAGGCAAAATGTATAGCAGACATAGTAGGCAATAGATGGGACGGTGTGGTCTAGCGGTAGAGAGCTACACTTTTATACCGACAATTTCGAGTTCAAATCCGGGCTTAAGTCAGTAGAGCGTCTCTGAGTCAACCCAGCTCTGATGGGTATCTAACTCACGTTAGGGGAAAAAAAAAGGTGGCAATCACTCTATAAGCCGAGATCTCTGAAAAATAAGAACTCTATCAACCGCATGCGTCTTGGGCAGGTACGGGAAATACTGATGATGATAATTAGGCAATTGTATCTGGTGCAGACGTATTAGGCATTATTAAAGATGGTATGCTAGCAATGTTAGTCTGGAAGAAACACTATTCTAGAGACAAGCGGTGGAGGCATATTGATATATTCGTCAGAGCAAAAGCACTCCTTAACCCCCCCCCCCCCCAACACAACGCCACTTCCGTCTTACCCTCCAGATTCAACCCCCCCCCCCACACACACACACCAGCCATCTCAACTTATCCTTTGACTACAGGCACTTCCCTTACCCTGTAGCCCTTCCTTTATCCTACCATCTAAATTATCACCCTTTAAAGAAACGTTTCGCTAGGGTACATCTGTACTGATCTTCGGCTTATACCCTACAGCCAATCGTTAATCTCGGTGATAATCTAACCTTGAGGCCTTAAAACCGAACCTTAGATTAAACAAGAAACTGAGACTAATCTTAATCACAGTTACCGGCAATTTAAGAACTATAAAAATAAAATCACAGCAAAAACAAGAAAGTGTTTACTTTTTCATATTATTCTTTGTCCTGGGCTAGTCTCTCCAACTGTTCCCAGGTGTATCCAATCTTCTTAGTGTTAAAAATTAGTTCTTGCTTTTTTTGAAGTGTTCCATTACATGTTTAAAGATAAACATCGTGCCTGATTAAGTCGAAATTTCATTAGGGTTAGCGTGAATTTTATTCAACTGATTCAGGAATTTAAAATAATTACTAAAGTGGAGTAAGCTGAAAATGAATAATGGACGTATAACAAGGTATATGTATATCCATGTGTTTCATTTGCATTTAATATACGTATATATATATATATATATATATATATATATATATATATATATATATATATATATATATATATATATATAATTTCTTTAAAAAATACACTTTAAATAGCGTGAAGAAAACTAATAAAGGAAGGAGAGGTCGGGCGGTAGAGCGTACTACTAACTCTAAGTATTCCGAGTTCAAAACCCGGCAGATGAGCTAAAGACAGCAACACATCTAAGATAGAAAACGTTAAAATTGAACAACTGCTGCCCTATAGATAGTCTTCCCGGTTCAAAGACTATGGAAGTGATTCCAGACACAAAAGCAGGCTGAGGTCTGTGTCAGCAGGCTATATCTCCCATAAAATGTTGACACGAAATGATTTTTTTTTCTGGAACTTCAGTACAGTTAAGAATAACGAAAAACAGCAAATGGATAACAACACATTTAAAGCTTAGCAGGGAGGTAATTCATCATTTTTATCTTGTCTCTAAATTTCACGGTAATTTTTAATCTACGGCTAAATATCTTAATTTCTTTACTAAATATTAATCGTAATATTAAAAGAGAATTTATGTTACAATGAAAGTTATTCACAAAAGTTACATTAACGTAAAGCTATACGACGAGTTTGATTAATCTTTTTTAGAAAAGTATTATGAATTTAGAAAACGACAGCTTTTATATAGATTGACTTCAGATTTAATAGTGTTATCCTGGTTCATTACGATCCCTTAGCAAAATAAATAAATTTTAAAAATGTAAGAAAGGTCTTCACGTCGCTCTCCATATTCCAGATATGATGATTATGATCGTAGAAGCAATCGTTCTAGAAGTCGAAGCCCCAGAAACAGATCACACTCAAGGAGTCCTTATAAAGGCAGCAGGACAAGAAGTCGTACTCCTAAAAGAGAAAGGAGATCCTACAGTCATTCCAGAAGTAGATCAGCATCATATGATAGAAAGAAAGAAAATGGCTCAAGAAGTCGGTCAAAGACAAGATCCCCTGCAAAATCAGATAAAGAGGAAAGAGAAGATTCACCTGCGGAATAAACATTACCTTTTTAATTCATTTTGTAACATTCATTTGCACATATTCATTTTTTTTAAATATAAATGTACTGGTGTTCTTTTAATGTTTTAAATTGTTGATTTTGAAATGTTGCATAGTGTAGATTATATCATTAATTTTAGTATGGAGATTACTTATTATTGTAATTTTTAATTAGGTTAAGATTCAAATAGAGAACCACACTTTGCCAGATTAAAGACCTATAATGAAACAGTTTTGTATTGAATGATTTTAGACAGCTAGATGTAAGACAGGAAAGTTGTATGCTGAAATACATGGTTTTGAGCAGCTGGTTTTATTTTGATTTACATGCTATTTGAGAGGTGTGAAAACTTACATTACACTAGCTGTACTGTTCCATTTTATGTGGTTATAGTTATATTGTAAATACAAAAAAAATTTCATCAAGATAATTTAATTTATGAATTATTTCTTAATTGCACTCAATTAGATCAAAAAGTGTCTTTATAAAGTACCATGACTGAAGGATCTCTGAATTATTTATTATGATTTTATTAAGTCTAGTGACTGCATCTAAAATATTGTAGGCTTTGTGATCGGAATAGGCTTAGTTTCAGAAATGTTAATGTATTTCATTTTAGCCTATGGTACTTAACATCCACGGTCATTAACTAAGAATTTTTGACCATTTGGATTATTCTGGGTTTTCCAAGCTGAAAGCCTGCAAATCTTTCAAATAAAATTTTCACCTCTGCTCTTTGCAATTTTTTTTTTGTTCTTTGTATTTTACTACTTAGCTACAGGTGTGCTTTAACATGAGATTGTGCAAATTTAAGAGGAAAAACAATTACAGCCTCTTGTTGCCGATGCACTGCGATTTTTCAGGGTAAATTATTAACATTACTGATATTCTACTAAGCCTGTACTCTATGTTTTGAGTAGAATTTAAATTGCAAACCAATCTGAAGGGAAATGATTCCTATAGCTTTTTGGATCTTTCTCTATAAGATTAAGATGAGCTAAATTTATGCTAAATTAACAGGAGTAAATACTACTAAACTTGGAGAGCTCTCTATAGTTGATTAAATAAATATATTTCAAAAAAAAAAAAAAATTTAAAAAATGTTCATTTAAAAAAAAAAAAAAATACGAAAGGTTAAAAAAAATAAAATAAATAACATGGGAGGACTGCAGTAGATATAACTACTTGAAATGGAAGAAGCGTTGATTTTATGTGGCTTCAGGCTGATTATAATATATATATTTTTTTCTTTTTAATCCCAAATTTACTTCAGCTTTACTTATAACCCATATCCCCTCTAACCACGGCATTAGAGAAAAAAAATTCCCTAAAATCAACATTTTATAACATATTTGCATTTTCAGGTTTAAAAATACAATTGTAATTAGAAGCTTTTGTATTAAGTATAACTAAACCATCCTAAATGAATGAAAGTACCTGTCAAAAAGAAGTATTACTATTGTAAATTACATGTCTGAGGCAAAAAAAAAGTAGATGAAAATAAATTTCGTTTGTAGGTAACATCAAAGTAATTACAGTTTGTTTCAAATATTAAAAGTTAAACATTTTTCAACTACGATATTTTGCCTTGTGATATTTTTCGTTTGATATTATTTTTTGTATCTAATTTGTTATAATTTGAGATTTTCGATTAATATTTTTTTGCCTGAGATATTTTAAGTTGCTATATTTTGATATTTTTTGTCGGATATTATTTATGTGAGACACTTTGACTAAAAACATGTAGCCGTCGTGACTCATTTCACACTAACCATTCTACCACAGTAGAACAGGAACCAATTACATTGATCATCGAGCTCAATCTAATTATACATTCTACTGTGTTACACCTACGTTCGCTGAATCTGTTAGGGTGTTACTGTTCGTTGAGACCTCAACTTTTACACCCTAACACACAATCTTACACCCTAGTTCACACCTCCCACACCCAAGTCCACACTTCACACAGAGAAACTCACCCTCCTATACCCCAGCCCACACTCCCACACCCCAACCCGCCCCCACACCAGTCTCAGCCTCCACAACCCAGCCAACCCTTCCACCCTAAAGTTTGAGCTCCCCACAACCCAGCCCTCCCTCTCACACCAGTCTGAGCTCCCTCACCCCTACCCACCCTCCCACACCTCAACCCAACCCACCCTCCCACACCTCAACCCAGCCCACCCTCCCACACGCGCCCACCCTCCCACACCCAAATCCCATCATCCCACACCATCATCCCGGTACCTCCCACACCATCATCCCGGTACCTCCCACACCACACCATCATCCCGGTACCTCCCACACCACACCATCATCCCGGTACCTCCCACACCATCATCCAAGTACCTCTCACACCATCATCCCAGTACCTCCCACACCATCATCCAAGTACCTCTCACACCATCATCCCGGTACCTCCCACACCATCATCCCGGTACCTCCCACACCACACCATCATCCCAGTACCTCCCACACCATCATCCAAGTACCTCTCACACCATCATCCCGGTACCTCCCACACCATCATCCCGGTACCTCCCACACCACACCATCATCCCGGTACCTCCCACACCACACCATCATCCAAGTACCTCTCACACCATCATCCCAGTACCTCCCACACCATCATCCAAGTACCTCTCACACCATCATCCCAGTACCTCCCACACCATCATCCCAGTACCTCCCACACCATCATCCCAGTACCTCCCACACCATCATCCAAGTACCTCTCACACCATCATCCCGGTACCTCCCACACCACACCATCATCCCGGTACCTCCCACACCTAACTCAGTATCGCCCACACCATCATCCCGGTACCTCCCACACCACACCATCATCCCGGTACCTCCCACACCATCATCCCGGTACCTCCAGCACCATCATCCCGGTACCTCCCACACCACACCATCATCTCGGTACCTCCCACACCATCATCCCGGTACCTCCCACACCATCATCCCAGTACCTCCCACACCATCATCCCGGTACCTCCCACACCATCATCCCGGTACCTCCCACACCATCATCCCGGTACCTCCCACACCATCATCATCCCGGTACCTCCCACACCATCATCCCGGTACCTCCCACACCATCATCCCAGTACCTCCCACACCATCATCATCCCGGTACCTCCCACACCATCATCCCGGTACCTCCCACACCATCATCCCAGTACCTCCCACACCATCATCCCGGTACCTCCCACACCATCATCCCAGTACCTCCCACACCATCATCATCCCGGTACCTCCCACACCATCATCCCGGTACCTCCCACACCATCATCCCAGTACCTCCCACACCATCATCCCGGTACCTCCCACACCATCATCCCAGTACCTCCCACACCATCATCCCGGTACCTCCCACACCATCATCATCCCGGTACCACCCACACCATCATCCCGGTACCTCCCACACCATCATACCGGTACCTCCCACACCATCATCCCGGTACCTCCCACACCATCATACCGGTACCTCCCACACCATCATCCCGGTACCTCCCACACCACACCATCATCCCGGTACCTCCCACACCACACCATCATCCCGGTACCTCCCACACCATCATACCGGTACCTCCCACACCATCATCCCGGTACCTCCCACACCACACCATCATCCCGGTACCTCCCACACCACACCATCATCCCGGTACCTCCCACACCACACCATCATCCCGGTACCTCCCACACCATCATCCAGGTACCTCCCACACCATCATCCCGGTACCTCCCACACCACACCATCATCCCGGTACCTCCCACACCATCATCCCAGTACCTCCCACACCATCATCCCAGTACCTCCCACACCATCATCCCAGTACCTCCCACACCATCATCCCGGTACCTCCCACACCACACCATCATCCCGGTACCTCCCACACCACACCATCATCCCGGTACCTCCCACACCATCATCCCGGTACCTCCCACACCATCACCCCGGTACCTCCCACACCACACCATCATCCCGGTACCTCCCACACCACACCATCATCCCGGTACCTCCCACACCACACCATCATCCCGGTACCTCCCACACCACACCATCATTCCGGTACCTCCCACACCATCATACCGGTACCTCCCACACCATCATACCGGTACCTCCCACACCATCATCCCGGTACCTCCCACACCACACCATCATCCCGGTACCTCCCACACCATCATCCCGGTACCTCCCACACCACACCATCATCCCGGTACCTCCCACACCATCATCCCGGTACCTCCCACACCACACCATCATCTCGGTACCTCCCACACCATCATCCCGGTACCTCCCACACCATCATCCCGGTACCTCCCACACCACACCATCATCTCGGTACCTCCCACTCCATCATCTCGGTACCTCCCACACCATCATCCCGGTACCTCCCACACCACACCATCATCCCGGTACCTCCCACACCACACCATCATCCCGGTACCTCCCACACCACACCATCATCCCGGTACCTCCCACTCCATCATCTCGGTACCTCCCACACCATCATCCCGGTACCTCCCACACCACACCATCATCCCGGTACCTCCCACACCATTATCCCGGTACCTCCCACACCACACCACCATCCCGGTACCTCCCACACCATCATCCCGGTACCTCCCACACCATCATCCCAGTACCTCCCACACCACACCATCATCCAGGTACCTCCCACACCATCATCCCGGTACCTCCCACACCATCATCCCAGTACCTCCCACACCATCATCCCGGTACCTCCCACACCATCATCTCGGTACCTCCCACACCATCATCCCGGTACCTCCCACACCATCATCCCAGTACCTCCCACACCATCATCCCGGTACCCCTGTGCTTTGTTAGTTCATTAAGTGTGAGCCGGGCAGGACTAATAGACGCCGCACGGTGACGGAGCGAATAATTGATGGCACGAGCTGTATAATTAGGTCCGTCTTGGGTGTCTTGTCTGTCTGGTGCCAGAGCGAACTGGACATTGACTG